TGGTATTCCTATCTGGCAAGTGGCTGCAGCATAAGGCCACCATTGGAGACATAATCCAAACTGAGCGGATCAAAAGGAAGCAGGCCGGCGACCAGGTCAGTCGGAACTCGTCGGCGTCATCGCTTCAGCAGACCGTGCATGTGTTCCCTTGGAGCTGCATATTTCTTTGAGATCAATTCTCCCATGCAGTAGCGATATATGAGCCTTTTAATCAGTAGATAGTCAGCGGGTCGCTGAAGTCGCACGTGGAGGTCGATACGAGAATATTGTTGGTATTCAGATAGTGTTTGGCTCTGTCTTATTGGTTGGTACCAAAGACTGGACCCTTATGGGCAAGCCAGTGATTCCCTATGCTAAGGTTCACTGTACGATAGAACAGCAGACCCTTACGAAGGACCAAGTTTCATTCATGTGAGCGTCGGGGTGGGGTTGGCATGGGTTGAGGTTTTCTGTAGATATAAACCCAAGCGCCGATGGTTCCGTTTCAGAAGGGTGCGGTATTGGGTTACGATGCTCAGGCTTGACAAAATTGAGGTGGATCTGAGCCTGTTGTACTTATTGTGTCGAAGGGGTAGTGCAGATCGATCCGCGATATTCGGCCGCTCCTGGGGACAAACCGCTGAAGCCAGTACGGTTGTTGGATATGTGGGCATCTAGGTGGCAGGTGAGAATAGCTCAACGTGTGGTATGAATCGAGCTGGAGCCGTGTTAGACACCGGAGGAATTGAGGGCGGTACAACGTGATGGAGAAGGCACGATGTTAGCTGAGAAGATCTACGATGGTACGGAGCAAGCGCCAGGTCACCATCAACGACGAGGCCTAGTGGAGGCGTACCGGTGAGCATTCTCCGAACATCATGTCGGGAAAAATGAAGTATGACAGGTTTTATCCGGATCCACAGGCCCCGCATCAGAGGTGGCATTGGTGATAACATGCTTGAATGTTTCAATAGTGTTTCCGGAATTCCATAGTTGTTGCGTTATCAACTGGATAAAAGCAGATAGAAACAATTCAGAAACTCGTATCTTTCAATGGTGACTCTGAAGCCGACAGTACGAAGAAAGCTCCAGGTTTGTACGACGGTGGTTTTCCTGATCTTCGCGGGTATAGTCGTCGCCTATGTACTGCAGTCACCAGTGGTGCCTATCGTTGCTGCCGTGGCCTTGTACTACTATACATATGGCTCTCTCGGGTCGGCCAAATTATGGCTTATACTTATATACCTTCTGGTTGACCTCAGCAAGGGCCTCATAGTGTCATGGTCCTTGGCGAACAAAGACCCAGGGAAAACACCGAGCGAAATAAGCATACTTTTCGTGAAAGATGTGGTATCGTTGGCGATGGGATATGCTGTTTCGAAGCTTATGGGGAACGATGGCAACAACAAAGTGAATGTCCTAGGCTATGACACCTTCAGGTTTCTACCAGTGGCGTTGTTGTTCATGACGAGTCAAACTTGTGCGCTGAAGGCGCTTAGTTATCTAGATCCTGGTAGGTGTTCAGAGCTACTTATAGGAGGATGACAATGCTCGTGTGGTTAGGCACGTTCAAGTTACTGTTGCAAGTCTGTCTTCCCACGATAGCATTCTTCTCATGGTGTTTTCTCGGAAGATTGTGAGACGCACTAC